ATGGGGGGGGGGGGGGGGGGGTGTGCCTGAGCTGCAGACAGAGGAGCATAGCACACTGATGCACCTGCAGTCAGTCTCCACCCCAAGCAGCCCCATACCTGTTGGTGACAGCCCGTGGCGAGCAGAATGTCCCCAGCAGCCAGGAGCTGCATGCTGAGGAGAAAGCTGCCATTGCTCATCATGCAGTCTGACACAGCCACACAGGGAGGTGTGGGATGGTGGTATGTGTTTTTATAATGACCATGCTGTGAGGTCACAGCCCTGCAGGTAGGGACACTTCAGTGACATCACAGCCCTGCATCACACCAGCACTCACTCCTGATGTGGATACCAGCCTGGCAGTGCAGCCACCCAGAGCAGGGGCCCCAGGGCTTTGGGCATCCCGCTGCCGTGCACTGACAGCTTCCCATCCCTGTGAGCATGTCAGGGATCCCAGTCCCAGCATCACAGACTGGCTAGGATAGGCAAGGAACAACCTGGTCTAGCCCTCCCTGCTCAAGCCAGGCCACCTGGAGCCCAGGACCACATCCAGGTATCTTTTGAATACCTCCAAGGAGGGAGGCTCCGCAAGCTCCCTGGGCAGCCTGTGTTAGTACTCAGTCACCCTCACAGTGGAAAAGGGTTTCCTGACGTTCAGACAGTGTCTCACATTTCAGTCTGTGCCCATTGCAACATTTGATTTTCCCCAAGTGCAACATTTGAGCTTGGGCAGGACACGGTGCCCCTGCCAGGGGCTCCTCCATCCGGGGTCACAGAGATCTCACTCAGGCTCTCCAGGCATACTGAGGCTCAGCTCCAGCTCTGTTGCTAATGTATCATCATTAACCTAGATACAAAAGAAAATACAGACTGGTTTGGTGGCTTCTGTCAGGGAACAGCAAAGACCAGCTACTCCCCAAAGGATGGGGATAGCCAGGAGGCACCCCAGCACAGGCAGCACCCTCACTGGTACGGTGCAGTCCCATGGGGCATGAGCTGGGGCTGGTAACTGGGCCCATCAACAGCCCCAGCCACAGCAAGCTATGAACCAAGTGCAGCATCCATCAGGAGCATGGGGCTGGGGGTAAGATACAACATACATCCAAGGAGTCCATCTGGGAGAGGAGCTGCCTACAACACAGGTCCAAGGCATCCATCCAGGAGACAGGGCTGCGGAGCAGCCCAGCTACAACATAGCTCAGAGGACAGAGGGCTGAGCACAGCTGGGACTCCTGTGGCCATGGGTGTGGGGCCAGGTGAGGCTGCTCAGGGAAATTAGAGCCTATTACTGCCCTCCAGGCCCCAACAACTTTAAAGTAAGTCTAAAAGTCAGTTTACAAAGAATAAACTCATTTAATGCTCCCCTTTCAATAAAGTAAGCAAGCTTACAGAAAATGGTGCCATTCCACCCACTCTGGAGCTAGATGACTATTATACAGGGAAACACAATTTGATGCTATCCTTCCTGAGATCTTCATAGCTTTAGAGCTACTTCCCTGTGCTCAAAAAACACTCAGAGAGAAAAAGCTTATCTTATATGCAACCAGAAATAATGCTGGTGACCACTGAGAAAAATATAGTTTTTCATCAACGTGAAGAAAAGTGAAATGCCCTGGGCAGAATTATCCAACATTGATTACACATCCATAATAACAGGGTTCAGGCACTGAGCAAGCCTGGCCTTGTGGATGGCAGAATCACCCAGGGATTCCTGCCTGGTTTCTCTTTCATTCTCCTCTAAAGCTGGGAAAGCCCCTGTAAAGCCAAGTAAGCAAAGCTGTAGGAACTGTCACAGTCAATACCTTTTCAAGAAATACTCTCCAAAAGAACATGCTGGAAGTATCTGTGCTTCTCACCTGCCACAAGTGCCTCTAGCAGCCACGTCACCCCATCCCAGAGGTGGCACACAAAGGTCACTGTGGAATGGGATTGTTATAAAGCCTATTAAATGGTGGCACTCACCTGCAATTAGACTCCCTGGGAAATGGCCTCACAAAGGGGATAATTAGCATGCCCCTAATTACTACCACTTCCTTTGGTGCTGTAAGAGTATGGCTAAAAAATTTAGTTTTACTCTACCCAGGAAGAAGATGGTCTGTAAGCATTTAAAGACTGTTTTCTACACCTCTGATGCCAGAGGTTGCACAAGCAACATGGGACAGAAAAAGAAAAAAAACAGTGGGTTTAAATTATGTTAATTTAAAAGCAACTTAAAGCTCTGATCTCCATCAGGTGGGGCAGGGAACAGAAATAGCCATAGTTGGCTTTGGGTGCATAGAGGTCAGGCAAGACGTGCTTACTCCTCCTGTCTGGCCTTGCCATCCCTGAGTGTGTGGTGGCCATCACCAGTCTCAGTGACGCAGTGAAGCTGTCCCCAGGGGACTCCTGGGCTCCTTGCTGCTTTTGCAGCTGTCTGCTGGGGAATGACCTGACCCTGTCAAGATGGTCTACGGAGCCCTAAAAATTTCAGGAGATCACTTGTAGAAAAACAGGTTGTGGCTGACTTACAGGAGAAAGGGTCCTTCTGCCTGAAGGTGCTTTGAGTTTGGGTCTCTCTAGGAGGCAGGTCTTGACACTGGATCGAATCACTGTCTTAATGCAGAGATGTTAATTACAACAAGCAGCCAGGACCATGCTTACAACCACTGAAGTCATACCTGCATCTGCATGGCCCGAGCTTCCACTTTGTCTCCTTCATTTACCAGCACATGTGCCAGGCACAGAGCTCACAGAATTGCTCAGTCCTGCTTTCTCCATGGAAATCCACAAATCGGGCTGCCTCCTCTACCAACTGCTAATAGTTGCAGCCGAAAAAGGGAACAAAACTGAAACACCACACGTGGTTTATTTTGATAGCTTTTGAACTCACATTTCTCCACTTCTCATTGTGACAAGATTCTCCAAGCTTTGCCTAAAAATAAAACATCAATGAGGACAAAAGGGCTGTTGCTTGTAAAAGCATCCCCTCCCCTTTCAGGTTTCTGCACAGCTAAGAAAAGCTTAAATATCTGTATGTGTGGGTGTGTGTATATAGACTCTCTCTCTCTGTCTATGTACTTATTGACATAATATATACACAGTTTTTCATCAGTCCTAAGCAGTTTCTGTGCTTTGGTGCTGAGCAGCAATCCAAGCCAGCAATCAGCCACCAGCTGACACAAGCCCTGATGGCTGTAGGATACCTCATGCTTTTCCAGTTTAACATCAGTCTTGGGTGATCCCCGCAAGCACTTGGGCTCATATTGCTCAGTGGTTACAATCTGTGGGTTTTCCGTTCACTGAATAACAATCTCAAATTCCTCCCACCAGGAACTTTGCTGCAAACCAGTATGTTTATTAGCAGCCCTTGGGCATTTTTCTAGGGCCACCCGCTTTTTCCAGCCAGAGCACTGAACTGCGCTGCCTTCCCAGCCTAATTTATTCTCAGCTTCCCAGTGCCGGGAATGAGTGGCAGGACAAGGCTACACGACACACCACTGCAGGGAATCCCAGCCCACAGGAAGCCCCGGCATGATGATGATGATGCACGAGCCTGGCATGCCCGGGCACCGTGTCCTCAGGGCTGGGACCCAGGTGGCCAAGGGTCCCCGCCAGACCCAGCAATGGGGCCAGAAGTCAGATCTGGCACCCAGCAGCCCAGAAATGGCACCAAAAAGGTCTTCCATTGCCTCCATCCACCCCAGTCCTCTGCCAATTTGGGTTACATCAGTGCTGTGGCTTGCAGTGAGCAGCATGTCCCACCCCTCACTCTGGCCCCAAGCATTTAATCGCTCTGCTGTTTTCGGGGGGAGGTCCAAACCATGTTTCTCCCTCCCGCTGCAGCACCTGCAGCTCCACTGGTGGCCATCCTCCCTTGCTTCCCCTTCCTCACCCTCTGGATAGCCACAGCAGCCCTGCCCAGGGCTCTGCCTCCCCTCCCAGTGCCCACCAACTGGTGAGCCTGGCTTGCTCTCCCGCTTCAGCATTTGCTCCTTCCCCGCGGCGGTCAGGAAAGAAATTTATTTTTTTAATCCCCCAGCTGGGAGTGGCGGACGGGTTTTGCCTTGCTCTGCCACATCTTAGTCACCATGGGACATGATGGTTCACAGCAGCAGACACAGCACATAGAAGCCCTGGTTTCCGTTTGGGAGCTGCTCCTGCATGGTGGAGAGACAAGGCAGCTCCTGTCTGCCCCATGGGGCTTCTCTCCCTCCTCTGATCCCAGGGGCCACAGCCATCACTGGCCACAGCTCTCTGCCAAGGGCCACTGTTTAGGCTTTGAAGTTGGGTGGCGGTGAAACCCATGGCTAGATTTTAGGTGAGGCAACCTCACAGCCTGCTCTGAAATACAGATGGCTCCAGATTGGTGTGGGAGCCTCCAGCAAGGACTTCCCTGCACCAGGGTTTTCCAGATACTCTGGGAACCAAGCCCCACACGGGGGCCAGCAAGGCCATCCTCCATGGTGTTCCTGTCATCCCTGCCCGGCATTATTCTGGCAAAAGCACACATGCATCTATGGTCCCACTGCTCCATCACAGCTCTCACTTCTGCCTTGTTTGTGCCAGAACCGTCCTGGGAAGAGGAACTAACCAGCAAAAATAGGGGAAGTGAGCCTGTCACAGCTTTCACAGCATTCACAGCAGAACCTGCTTTAACTGTTTGTTCCCCAAAACACACAGCAGCTGCCCTGTGCCACTGAAACCAGGGCCCAGCCACATGCCAGCATCCCTGGGCAGAGCCAGCTCAGTACCACTGGGACCAGCTTCCTGCAGCTCAGCAGTCCTGAGCAGGAGATGCTTTTCCCAGCTGGGCTTATTGCAGACCCTGGGGGAAGGACAGGGATGGGATAGAGGAGGCTGCAGAGGGCCCTAATGTAGATACGTGTTGGTATGGGGGACACACCTGTGTCATGGACTGGATCCCATGGGGGGACTCTCCTGTCATAGTTTAACCCCAGACAGCAACTAAGCACCACATAGCTGCTCACTCACTTCCTCCCCCACCCAGGGGGATGGGGGAGAGAATCAGGAAAAAAAAAAGTAAAACTCATGGGCTGAGTTAAGAACAGTTTAATAGGACAGAAAGGAAGAAAATAAGAATGATAATAATACAGTAATAAAATGACAATAATAATATTAAAGGAATTGGAATGTACAAAACAAGTGATGCACAATGCAATTGCTCACCACTCGCCCACAGATGCCCAGTTAGTTCCCAAGCAGCGATGCCCCCCCCAGGCCAATGCCCCCCAGGTTATATACTAGGCATGATGTCACATGGAATGGAATATCCCTTTGGCCAGTTTAGGTCAGCTGTCCTGGCTGTGTCCCCTCCCAACTTCTTGTGCCTCTCCAGCCTTCTTGGTGGATGGGCATGAGAAGTTCAAAAAACATCAGTGTGTTATCAACATTCTTCTCATACTAAATCCAAAACATAACACTATACCAGCTACTAGAAAGAAAATTAACTCTATCCCAGCCAAAATCAGGACACCTCCAAACCCACCAGTGCCTGCCCCAGGGTCTCGGGCAGCATCTTCCCCAAGAGAGAAGGGAGACAAGCATTGCACTCCCCCTGACACTGAAACCACACTGCACCACCTCCCCGCTTCCTCTCCTTGCCTCTGCCACAAAGGAAAGCCTTGCAGTCAGCAGCAAAGTCCAAGTGACCAGGACCAGATCTCACCCCATCATGTGAGTGGGACCCCAAGGCCATGGGGCCAGGGACAAGTCCCTTGCATGGCACAAACAAGCTAGGGTCACACGGGGGGATTCATCTAGAGGAGTCACCCAAGCACCGACCAAGACAGATTCACATAGTGAAATTCCCTGGGCACAGTGAAGAGCTGAAGGTGATATTTCTCCCTGCCCCATCCTCAGCAATGCAGCTTTCATGGGGAGAGGGACCTTTCACAACAGGGAGGCAATGGGCTCCAGGCAACTGTCTGCTCCCCACCCACTTGTCTCAGCTCCACTCAGTCATTTCTCACATTGTCAAGTTCTCACTTCTCCTTTCCCTTTTGTTAATTCAACCCCCCCCAAAGGAAGAAGCACCCAGCAGCTGCACCCCCAGCCAGCTCATTTCCCCAGCTCCCGCCTCACTGCTCAGACGTCTGGTGAGGGTGCTGCACCGGTTCAGCCATGGGCTGGGTGCTGTGGGGGGTCCTGCTCGTCTGCGTGTCGGTGGCTTGGGTGAGAGGGGCTGAGCAGTCCCAGGAGCTGTCCTCCTCTGCTGGGTTTCCAGAGTGCAAGAAGGCCCTGAAGCTCCCAAGTCTGGAAGTCCTGCCAGGGGGGGGCTGGGATAACCTCAGGAATTTGGATATGGGCAGAGTCATCAACCTGGGCTACTCGCTGTGCAAGACCACAGAAGACGGATCTTATATCATCCCAGATGAGATCTTCACCATCCCTCGCAAGCAGAGCAACCTGGACATCAACTCCGAGATCATCGAGTCCTGGAAAGATTACCAAAGCATCACCTCTGCCTCCATCAACCTGGAGCTGTCCCTCTTCTCCTCCATCAACGGCAAGTTCTCCTACGACTTCCACCGGACCAAGACCCACCAAGTGAAGGACCATGCTGTCACCACACGAGTGCAAGTCAGGAACCTGGTTTACACTGCCAAGATAGACCCAGAGGCAGTCCTGGACAAGGGCTTCAAGAAGCAGCTGCTGACCATCGCCAGCCACCTGGAGAACAACCAGACGCGGATGGCTGATTTTCTGGCCGAGGTCCTGGTGCTTAACTATGGCACCCACACAATCACCTCTGTGGATGCCGGAGCCAGCTTGGTGCAGGAGGATCAGATCAAGGCAACCTTCCTGAAGGACAGCTGGGCCACACGGAGTGCTGTCACTGCCTCTGCCGGTGTGGCCTTCCACAGCATCATCAGTGTGAAAAATGAGGAGTCCCTGGACGTCACCTCTGGCTTCACCAAGCAGTATCTGGAGAACCGCACCAACTCCAGGGTAGAGAGCATCGGTGGGACCCCCTTTTACCCAGGCATCACCCTCAAGACCTGGCAGGAGGGGATCAGAAACCAGCTGGTGGCTCTCGACCGCTCAGGGCTGCCCCTGTACTTCTTCATTAACCCCAGCACCCTGCCAGAGCTGCCCACGCCCACAGTGAAGAAGTTGGCCAGGCGAGTGGAGATGGCTATCCACCGCTACTACGCCTTCAACACCTACCCAGGCTGCACTGATGCCACCTCGCCCAACTTCAACTTCTATGCCAATGCTGATGATGGCTCCTGTGAGGGTGTCATGACCAACTTCACCTTTGGGGGAGTCTTCCAGGAGTGTGCTGGACTGGCTGGCCCTGACACCAGCACCCTGTGCCGGGCATTGGAGCAGAAGAACCCCCTCACTGGGGCTTTCTCCTGCCCCACCACCTACACTCCGGTACTGCTGGGCATGCAGGAGCGGGAGGAAGGCCACAGCCATCTGGAATGCCATGACAAGTGCATCATGGGCATCTTCTGCCACCGCAAGTGCCGGGATGTCTTCTGGCTCTCCCGGGTGCAATTCAGCGCCTACTGGTGCGCCATGAGCAGGCCGGTGGCCCCAAACTCAGGATACCTCTTTGGGGGGCTGTTCAGTGCCCACAGTACCAACTCCATCACCGGTGCCCAGTCCTGCCCCTCGGGGTACTTCCCACTGAAGCTCTTCGACGAGCTCAGGGTGTGCGTGAGCCAGGATTATGAGGGGGGTGGCCAGTATGCAGTGCCCTTTGGGGGCTTCTTCAGCTGCCAGGCAGGGAACCCCTTGGCAGGGCAGCACCAGGGCACCACCGAGGACCCCCATGCCAAGAGCTGCCCCCCAGGCTTCAGCCAGCACTTGGCGCTCATCAGCGATAGCTGCCAGGTGGAGTACTGCGTCCAGGCTGGCATCTTCACAGGGGGCTCGCTGCCACCCGCCCGCCTGCCACCCTTCACCCGACCTCCCACCAACCTGCCAGCCATTGACACTGTGCTGGTGAGCAGCGGTAATGGGGACAGCACCTGGGTCAAGGATGGGCAGAGCCAAGTGTGGCGGCTGGCCCGGCCAGAAGAGATCCAGCATGCGGCGGAGATGGTGAGGGGCCGGAGGCTGACGGGGGGCGAGGCGGCTGGTGTCACTGCAGCAGTCCTGGCAGGGCTGGCCACCATCCTGGCGACGGTCTGCTACAGCCGCCGGAGGTACAAAGTGAGGGGGTACCATGCGATGGGGGACAGCCTGGCCACTGCAAGCTCCGAGGACAGCACTGTGCTGAGCGTGGGCAATGGGTACCAGCAAGGGCCGGAGGGGCTGATGGCATAAGCATCCCCCCTCCCCAGTTGCCAGGTGAGGTCTTGTACCCCAAACCCAGGCAAAGCCCCCTGCCCACCCCCCTTTCCAGGGACAAAGCTGCGCAGCACCCCCTGCCCCTCACCCCCTGGAGCCAAGGTCCCTGTCCCCACGGAGGCCCCAGGCTCACCTCTCCATAGGATGACACATGCTCTCGCCCTCCACCAGATCCCCAAGCTCCAGCCTCGAGCACCTGGGGGCTCCGTGGCCCTTCAGACATCCCTCCCCAGCTGACCTCAAAGGCCAACTCCCAGGGTTAACTCATCATCACGACCCACCACCATATCCCTCTGCCAGCCCCTGCACCTCAAACGGCTGCATCTCCCCGCTCCAACCAGTCCTGGGGCTCTGCCCCTTCAGAGATAAGCGAGCTTCCCCTCCACTGCAAGCCATGCCCCAGCCGTCCCCCCCCGCTCCAAAACCAAAAAAGGGGAGGCAGGGCCCTTCAACAAGCCACTGGGAACACCGGGCTGCCCAAGGAGAAGGAAACCCTGAGCAGAGCCATCTTCTTCCCCCTCCAGGTTGGCCCTAGAAAGCCAGGGGAAGCTGTGCAACCCCTCTACTCTCCCCTGACACACAAGAACACCAGCAGGACTCAAGGCCTCCACGGCAGGGACTTGCTACTTCTAAAAACATTGGGTAAGGATGCATGCTGGTGCCTGACTCCTGGGAAAAGACCCCCAGCCCTCCAAGCCCAGAGAGACCCCCAGCTACTGCAGGCACGCAGGGCCAGCACAGACGGCATTAGCAATGCTTCACCTCGCGGGAAAAGAGGGAGTCGAGGAGCCCCGTGGAGACGTGCGTGGGGTTAGCCACCAATTTCTGCTCACTGCAGCTAGAGGGCAACCCCTGCCTCCATGTATATCTATCCAGATAGATATACACACGCATGCAGAGGCACGGATCAGTTTTATTTCAGCCAGCAACTAATTGCGTAGGCAACACAGCATTAAAAAAGAAAAAAAAACACCTCACGTTGTGAAAAGAGTGTCACATTAAGAGCCGTCAGGCCGGCACCCAGGGAGGGTGGGGGACCCCCTCCCCTTTCCTCCCCCAAATTACAGGAGGGTTTTGCATAGCTCCAGCCAGGGCTTTTCTGCAGTGGGGGAAGCCCACGGCTCCGGTGGAGGAGAAATCACACTGCTGCAGCTCCCGTGGCTGCAGAGCCACCCAAAAAAAAGGGGTTTTCCTGGGGAAAGAGGTTTTCTCCCTTGAGGTAGAAAATAACATCCCATGCTAAGGATAGCTGGGGACAGACTGCTGCAAAGGGGCATCAGGGGGATGAGGGATGCCTGGCCCTCCCCACAGTGCACCCTCACTTGCCTGGTCACACAGACGACGGACAGAAGACAACAGAGAGGCCAGGCCGTGCAGGGACAGCGAGCATCCCCTGCCATCTGCTTTATTGACCCCCCCCCCCCCCACCTCCCCGCTGCGGGGTGACTGGCTGGGGGCAATGCATCCACCAGGCCAGGGAGAGGAAAAACAGCAACGACAGCAGAACGATGCACAGCAGGACGGGTCCCCCTCCCACACCACTGTCCCCTGGGACAAAGGGTGAGGTGACACCCCCCCCCCCCCCCCCAGGAAAACCAGGAGGGGAATGCAACAAAACGGGCTAGGAGGCCCCAAACCCCCAAGGAGCAACAGTGCAGGGCTGGGGGAAGCCTGGGCAGTGGTGGGTGCTGCCCCCCTCTCCACTCTCCAACCCTGGGGGTATTGCGGGACAGGGGCATGAGCCGCAAACAGCCCCCATCAATGGGGAGAGTGCCCCCAGGGCAGCCCACAAAGCTGTGGGGATCTCTCCAGCACCTTGTCACAGCTGGTTCTGGGAGGCCCTATGAAGTCCCCTGGGGGCTGGTGGGGACCCCAAGATGCCATGCAACTCCCCCACCACCACCCACACTCCCCTCTCATGCCAACCCCCCCTGGCCCCAGCCCAAAACTGCCATGCCAACCCACTGCCAGCCAGCTGTCTCCCCCCCCCCCCCCCCAAAGACCTCCCCAAGGACTGTGGGGATGGTGCTGGGACCCAGCAGGAAGGGGAGCAGTTCCCACCCACACCTGCCTCGGGACCCACAGGTGACAGCACTACCGTGGGGCACTAATGCCCTTCAGGGCAGGGTGTCCCCGCAGTAGGGGAGCAGCGCCTGCAGTGCTGCCCCCCATCCTGCCCCCCCCCACCCAGTACCACCAGGCTCAGCCCCCCAGGCCAGCCGCAGCATCGCATTCTCCCAGCCCCCAGGCCACCTTCCAAAATGCCACCACCTGTATGTACATATGCAGGAAAAAACCCCAAAACACGAGGTATATAAAAATTCAACGCGGGGACACCCCCATACGAACAGTTCAAGGAACCCACTACAGAGGGGGTGGGGAACAGGCCAGGCCTCCACACCCACTTCCTACCACCCACGGGCCCCTCCTTGCCACTGGGAGGCGGGGCAGCCCAGGCAAGGGGACCCTGCAGGGCACAGCTCAGACACAGCCAAGAGGAGAAGGGGGCACGGGGCTGGGAAGCCGGCAGAGGCAGACCAGGGCCCCTCCAACCTCCGTGAACACAGGAGACCAGTGGGGAGGTACCGGACAGGACAAACAAATAGATGGCTGAGGGACGAGGTGGAGCGAGGGGGACTCCCATGGCCTCTACTCCCACCCCAGGCCGGGTCCCAGCTCCAGGTGGGTGTCAGGGGCATCAGGCCAGGCTGGGACCGTCTGATGGATGAGGAGGGAGGGCAGCCTGGCACGCCACAAGCTCTCCGCACGGCGGCAGCAGGGATAGGACACCGGCTGGAAGGAACAGCCAAGCCAGGGTGAAGCCCCGTGGCTCCCTCCCCGCGGGAGTGACGGGGACAGCCAAAAGACCTTCTCCCACATTCCCGGCCAGCCTGGGGATGCTCCCACTGGGCGGGTGCCACTGGGAGCACAGGGCTCCCCGTGCCCCCTGCAAAGCCCCCAGGCGGGTTTCTCCAGCAGCTTTATCCTTGGCGGGGGGCAGCACAGGCACCCCTTCCCTTGCCTCCCTGCCGCAGTCTCAGTCCTTCTCCTGCGCCAGGCTCTCCTCCGTGATGCCCTGGGCCGCAAGCTCAGCCAGGACATTGTCCAGGTAGTTGATGTCAGGGTAGCCGTGGCCGGTGAGGTTGGAGCCGAACTCCGTCTTGTGGTGGATCTCGTTCCAAATTACCGTGTCTGACTCACCTGTGGTGCTGGAGGTCCCGATGGCGAAGATCAAGCGCCGGTCCCAGGCTACCAGCAGCAACTTCAGTACCTATGGAGGGGAGAGATGGGGCAGGCAGCAAGGCAAACGCAGGGGTGGAAGCACCCACTTCTGCTCAGGGCATATCTGATCGTCCTGGTACACCCCGGCAATGTGGGCAACCCACAGCCAAGCCCTCTAGGGAGCTTGGGATGCCAGCATGGGATCCTACCCCAACCAAAACAGCAGGACCAGGCTGCAGAGCTCCCCCAGTGCATGGGAACATCGCTGGGTTCCTGCAGAGCATGCTGGATGGGCTACAGGGAAAACCTCCACCCAGATTTGCCTGCATAAGGCCTGCTTTTCCCCATGCTCCAAATAGCTGCTCGCTCCCTCTCCCCCCTTGATATGCCCTTGAGCATGCCTTGGCGAACTCAAGCCGCCCAAGTGAGCCCCTCACCTTTCTGCCCTTCTCGCTGTCCGGCAGGTAGCAGTGCCGGGGGAAGCCGCGGGCAGTGAAGCTCTTCCCAGGGTTTGGATGCTCCGGTCCCTGCAGTGCGTGGAGTGGGAGAGGAACAAAACCCTTTTGGAGCTCAGAAGCATGCTCTGGGCACAAGGTAATCCCCCAACCTCAGTGGATGCAGAGCTGCCTGCTGCTGGGCAGCCATGCTCCAGCACAGTGGCCCTAAACACCACCATCACCCCCCTGCCACCAAGCAGATGGGGCCAACACTTTCATGCAGATGTACCCAAGATTTTCCACAACATTCTTACGGACACGCAGCTCCCGAGACATAGTTGAACCCAGAGTGCCAAGTCAAGGCATGAGCTGTAGCCTGACATGGGGGTGATGCAGCAGTGACAAGGGTGACTAGCCCCCACAGGGGACCACCCATGTACCCCCCTGGTCATAGGGCCGGGCCGCACCTGCACCCCCGGGGGGATGTTGTAGATGATGCGGATGGTTTTGCAGTCAGAGTGGCCAGGCAGCGCGTGAGGGATGATGTGATACTCCATCTTCCCTGGGGGCTGTGTCCCTGTCTTCACCCCATAGATGGTTTTGCAGGTGGGACACTGCAGACTCCCATCCTGAAGGAAGGAAAAGAGGGGAACATAATGAAACCAGTATCCCCCAGCACTGAGCCAGCCCGGGCATTTCATCCCTGAGTGGCAGTGAACACTGTTTTAATCATGAAAATAGTCATTTCAAAAACACTCAGGAAGCAGGGGGTAGGGCTGGGAGAATTTGCTACTGCAACCCAACTTTAACCAAAAACTGGAGGTCTGCATTTCTCTTCCTCATCAGTTTTACAGTCCTCGCTACTTTCCCCACCTCTGTTTTGTTTTGTTTTTCAAAGAGGGAAAGATAGTAAATATTAAAAAACCCCAAGCAATGTGAAACGCATTTTCCTGGGAATGTCAAGCACAAGGGCCATTTGCAGGGACCTCAGGAAAGCCCACCTATGGCTGGAAAAGCACTGCCCGGGCCAGGTAGCTCTGCTCAAACATGGAGGGATCAAAGTTCACTGCCACTAATTCTGGGAAAGAAAGCAAGGACATAAAACAGGGCACAGTGGTGGAAAAAATACCCACACAACCCTGGTTTCTGATTTAGTGCTCCCAAAATGCTGGCTGCTGATAAAAATTAAACTCTCCATCAGGGCAGGGAGGTCAGAGCCCTCTGGGGCAGCAGGACTTGAGCACCATCCCACTGAGGGCTGGTGGAGCTCAGCACAGGTCACCAAGCTGGGGGTTTGGGCATTGCCTGGGGCTGCAGCCTTGCACCTTGTTGCCGTTGTTGTACATGGCGACCAGGCAGTGGAGGTGGAAGACGTGGCCACATTTCACCAGCTTCCCCACCAGGTCGGGCTTGACAGCCGGCTGGGGTCCCTTGTAGCCAGAGGGTGCAGAGAGGCGCTCCATGCAGATGGTGCAGTCCTGCACGGAAGGAGAGGAGAGGGATCAGGTGGATGGATGCAGCCGGAGCTTTGCTGAGGATGTGGGGCTGATGAGCTGCCCTGCTCTTACCCAGGGACCAGCACCCACCTCTGGTGCCATGCCGTCACCCTGGGCCACCACAGGGGCTGACCAACACGTGCATGTAGCACACAGCCCCTCTTTGGAGGGGGACAGGGACAGGGCAGAGCCATGAGGGGCAGTGGGAGACCCCTGCGCAGCATGGGGGCATCGCCTGCGTCCCCAGTCGCTCCTCCCAGAGCAAAGCACCCCAGGGACACCCCAGCATGACCCCCGCTGCTCGCACCTCATCCGGCGGATGCCGCACCTTCTGCAGGTATTTTTTCAGTACCTCCTCCGGGGTTTTACCTGCGGGGGAGCAACAGTCAGAGGGGCTGGAGGGCAGCATGAGGGAAAACCAGTGCTGGGGGCAGTGGGAGGGGCAGGGGAACCAGGTAGGGAAGTGGAGACAGGAACAGGGGCCAAGTGGCAAAGTGCCTCTCACCCTTCTTGGCCTGTTTCTTGGTGGTCTTGCGGCAGGTGTGGGAGATGCCGGGAATGGACTGGATCTCACTTTTGCTGACAGGCGGGGGGTGCAGCACCAGCTTGGGGGGCCGTGTCAGGCAGACGGGCAGCCCGGCTGCACTCATTAGGATCCCTGTGATCCCTGGGCGAGGGGGTTTGAAATGGCACTGAGGAACCAGCGTCACCCCAAACCCCAGATATTTCCGCAAAAAACACCCACTGGGGCTGACTCCCCCCTGGGGAGGCCAGCACCTGCGGGCACCGGCTGCTCCACTGCAGCCCCATCCTCACCTGCCAGTGCTGGGTTGACAGGGCTGGAGCCGGTGAGGTTCTTCACGGGGACAGTGGGGACCCTGTGAGGAGCCAGCAGAGACCACATCAGGCCTAACGGCAGGCACCCAAGTCCCTGCAGCCCCCAGGGGCCAGACAATAGTTGCCTGAGCAACTGCACGGGCCCTGGCTGGAAATAGAGAATCCCCCAACAGGGTGATGTGCTCCCCCCTGCCCCACTGCTGCCTTTTCTCTCACTCTTTAGAAACCCCGCCTGCGTCTCCATTCATGGCCCCTTTTTGTCACCGCTCCCCAGGCCAGTCTGTTGTTTTTTTTGGTGGTTTTTTTTTTCCCCTCTTTTCTCCTACGGCCACGGCGCTGCCGCAGCTCTATTCCCCCCCGCCTCCCCTTGGGGCTCTCTTCCATGGGAAAGTTTCCCAGGCGGGTCAGGAGTGGAGGGAAGGGGGAGGATGGAGCACGAGAGGAAAGGGGCCAGGCTGTGACAGAAGGCTGATGGCAGAGCCAGACAAAGGGGAGAAACAGGCTCATTGAATGCCCACCCCCTCGAAAAAAAAGTGTCTTTGGAGGGTGGGGGTCTGGAGGGACCCCTTCTCATGGGTCTTGAATGGCTTTTCTTTGGCCCTTTTGCAGTCCCCCACCCATCCCCTGCCACCAAGAGAAAGAGCAGCCTCAGCCTCCTCATTGAGATGCAGGAGCCACCCCATCCCTGCTCCAGTCCCCAGGCACCCTTGGGGAAGGCGAGGGGCCCAGCAGAGCCCTCCACCTGCAGGAGGTTGGGGACCACCGAGGTCCATCTCCCGCCAGGCTCAGGGGTGATAGCACCCCTGCAGCGAAGAGCCCCACCGGCCTGCAGCCCCTCTGTGCCCTGGGGAGGCAAAAAAAAATCACGCTGCCCCTGTTGTCCCCCAAACTACCCTCTCACTCACACGCGGCGGGACTCACCCAGAGGCAATGAGCACCCGGGACTGGGCAATGGCCAGGCGCTGGAGGTGGCTGCGGTTCAGGGTGCCGAGGCCAGGATGGGATGCCTTGCCACTGCCCGTGCCAGGGGGGCTGGCGGCGGAGCTGGCTGAGCTCAAGGTGGGTGTGCTGGCTGCCTGCCGCCGGCCCCCTTGGGCTGCCAGTGGCTTCAGTGAGCCACGCACCGTGGCCATACCGTCAGGCATCTTGGCCCCTGAGGCCGGCGCTGGGGCTTTGGGGACAGCGGGTGGCACAGGGGGGGCTTTGCGGGGCTGCAGGGTGGCGGTGCCAGGGCCCGTGCCTGACACGGTGGCTTTGACGCTCATGACCAGGAGGCACTGGGGACAGGCGCAGGCGGGGACCGGGGGGGCCGCCGCTGCCCCAGGGCTGGCTGGCCAGGACTGTGACTTGGGCAGGGTGCCCGAGACCAATGGGTAGACCATGTCAAGGCGGCGGCGGACGCGGCGCTTGCGCTGGGTCTGCCGGTTGATCTGGCCCATGGTGGCAAAGTCGATGATGTAGCAGAAGCCAATGGCACTCAGGTCCACCCAGGGGTGCTGCTTCTCATAGGCGCGCTGGATGGTGATGCCCACGTCCATGTCATAGGGCGTCCACGACCCGCTGTCGTTCTCCCATTCCCACACAACTCCCTTGCCCGGCGCCGACGACGGGTCGTAGTAGCTGCGCCGGACAGGGCGGATAGTGCCTGAGGGAAGGCAAGAGATGCCGTCAGACCCTGGCGCCAGCACCCACCTGCAGGCAGGGAGCGAAACCACCCCAACCTGCCCCACCGGTGCTGTTCGGCACAGGGACAGGATGGCTTTCCAGCTCAGCTGTTGTCCCCGCCCTGCCAGGGGACTGGTGTGCCTTGGTTTCCACAGGCTGCTGCCTGCAAGCTGCCCTGCTGCTGGCACACCCCAAGGGCCAGGCAGCCCCTGGGCTGTACATGCATAGCACTGGGGCGCAACCCCAGCGTGACTGGGGTGAGGGAAGGGCAAATTTCACCCCCATCAGTCTACGGAGGTGGCCACCCTCCCAGCGCCAGTGTGCAGCCGCTCAGCCCTGATGGGGAAACACAGAACCACAAGCTTGGCCACTCCAACCTGCTCCCAGGGACCTCCCATGGGAGCCTGATGAAACCAGGCATGTAGGCACCGGACTTCTGTAGTGCCTGCCACGGCCCTGTCTCCCTCTCAGCTCTGGGATGGTGGAATAAAAGATTTAAGGGGCAGCACTGACCCCCGCAGTGGTGACATGTGCAGGCACCCACATGTGTGGGGGAGCAGGGCTCACACCAATCCCACTGTCTGCAGCTGCCAAACCAGCCCGCGACAAGAACCCAGCCTGTGGCACAGCGAAAATCCCCATGAGACTGAGCAAAGGAGTTTGAGCAGGGCCCCGTGCCCATCTCCTGCTCCCCCATCAGTGAGCATTAAGAGAGGGATGCGAGCGCAAAGCACAAAGGCTTTGTGGGTTGCATCCTTATTTTTGCTAGGTGTTTCCTTTTCTACCGCTCCCAGTTGACTAGGATGCATTAAAAGCATAGACACAAATTTTGGAGACTCCTACAATGAAGAGAAAGCCTTCCTCTTTGGGATGTTTCACAGCACAGCAGGGCACACTGAACGTGGCCGGGCTCAGCCTTGGGGTCCCATCCTGAGCATGCTACTAGCACCCAGAGCTGGTTAATAGGTGGGATGAGCTCACAAGCACTGCTGCCTCCATGCTCTTCTGCAAAACCCCATGGCTCAGCCCCACTGCCAGCAGTAGGAACTAGAAAGCTCAAAGAGAAGAAATAATAAGCCTGCTTCTTCGGCTTTTCACCAAGTGTCTTGCAAAGCCTGCAAGAATTTCAGTCCTTTTTCACCCCCAGCTCTCCGCTGGGAGCAGCCGCCACTGTCAGTCCCCACACAGGACCACTTCCCACGAAAAAGTGGGCTAAAAAGGAAAAGCTATTTATTAGCACTAATGACGGGTGCACATCAAGCACCCTGCTATGGAGAATGGGGTGCAGCTGCACCCCAGGCAAGCCAGGCCACCCGTCCCAGTCCTGTGAAGGGTTACTCAGGGGAGAAAAGCCACCGGCACTGGCGGCACAAAGCAGGGCCAGAGGAGAGTGGAGCAGTGATTTATCCTAATCCGGTGTGAGGCGCGGAGAGCAGCATCGGTTGCATGCGGCATCTGGCGGTCCCCGGGCGGCGGTGTGGGAATGCCATGCATCCCCCCAGCCCAGCATGGCCAGACGGCCTCCCATTCAGCAAGGGAAGAAAAGGGACAATAGCTATTCAGGGCCTGCCAGGGTCATGACCCCCCCAAATCAGAGCTGTTTAATGACCCAAAATACCAACATCCCCAGCAACCCAGGGAGAGACAGAACAATCCCCCTTTCAGGTCTCCTCCCCAGTCGACAATAGGCCTCCGAGGCTGGCCCCCAGCCCGGCTGCAGAGGTCCCTTGTCCCCACACCCCCGGGCAGGGGAGGGTCCCTGCCAGCCCCCAGGGCTGCTGGGGGAAGGAGGACAAAGGAGGGTGTCCAGCACCCCACTGCACCCAGCACCCCCTGTCCCAGGGACAAGGGACATTAGCTGGTCCCCTTCCCATGGCCATCAGGGGGGTGGTTGGGGGGGCACAAATCCCCTGTGCCAACCTCTCCCCCACAGGTGACTGTCCCCCACATTCCAGAAACCCTCAGGGCCATATGTGCCCCACCACCTTGGGAATCCCTCCACACCACCACCACCCCGGTGACCTCCATGCCTGCTTGTTGCCCTCTGACCCCTGAATACCCCCTTTACCTGTCCAAGCCACCACCCTGGGGACCTCCCCACCTGCCTGTGCCTTCCCTGAGCATGCCCCCACCTGCCTGTGACCCAACCCGGGGCAACCCTATGGGCTGCTGTGACGCAGAGCAGGGATTTGGCCCCCAAGCACCGTACAGCACAGGGCCTTTGGAGTTGATGGTGACTCAGAGGTAGCACACAGGGAGCTGGGCATGGTGAGGCAGGGCCCTGGGAAGGGTCTGCAGGGGACGGGCTCCACACAACGAAGGGACTGCAGGCCAGGGGATGAAAATGCCATAGCATGCAACAGGGCCCAGGAGGTGCAGCAGGGAGGAGGCCAGGCAGCCCAACCCCATAAGGGACCAGGAACGTGCGAGCAGGGCCAGCCAGCATGGGACATGGCAAGCACCTGGGGACCAAGTGGGATGGCGTAACACAAGCTGGCAGCAGGCAACCCAGGGAAGCTTCAGCTTGGGCAGCAGTGGGCAGGGCTGGGCAGCAGCATGGGACCGTGCACCAAGGAGCAGAGCTGTGCAATTCCAGGGCAGGCAAAGCAGGGCGGTGCAAGGCAAATCTAGATGCAGTATGGGACCAGGCAATGCAATCCAGAATCAGGCAGTATAACGCAGCACAGCGCCCAGCAGCACAGCACAGTACAGTACAGCCAGCAACACGACGGCAGGGCGGGTGACAGGACGTAACACGGGGCAAGGCAGCACAACGCAATATGGGCCTGGGGAAGGCAGCACGGTACATACAACCCAGCTCCAGATCAGGCAGTGCAATGCAGCATGGGACCCGGCAGCACAGCATTGTGCAACACCGTGCAATGCAATTCCAGGTCAGACAGCGCTGTGCAATACCGGACCTGGCAGCAAAGCGCTGCACGGTGCAACTCTACACCAACCGGTGCAACGCAATAAGGGACCTGGAAACACAGCAAATCCAGATCAGTCGCGTCAGGCAGGAAAGCACCCGACCGGGCAGGGCAGCACGGGGCCCGGCAGCAAACCCCCTGCAGCGCGGTGCAGCAAGGGACCGGGACCGGGACCACGCAGCGCCCCACGGCAGCGCGCAAGCGGTGCGAGACCAGGCAGGGCTGGGCGGCGCTGGAAGGCGCAGCGCGGTGCGAGGCGACCCGGAGCAGAGGGCACTGTGCAGTGCCAGGCCGGGGAGCCTCGGGCAGCGGGGGAGCGGGCAGCGCTACGCGGCGCCGAGCGACGCAATCGCAGCCCGGGGAGCCCGGCGCAGGGCCCGGCCGGGCCGGGCAGGGCACGACACCGC